TAATAGTAATTGTAATGGCAAGACTTGCTTTTGGAACAAATAAGGGGTTGAATTAATCAGCTTGAGTGATTTGCACCCCAAGTGCGTGGCATTCTCATCCAACAGTTAAATAGAAGCATAATCTAAATTATGGACCAATTGACCAGCACCATTCGCCTCCGACAGTCTCAGGCACTTATCCCAATTTCCCCTCCTAGATCCCTTCTAGGTACCTTTGAACTTCCTCAGAGCCTCCAATAGCGCAATAGTTTTCTGGGAGAAACCACTGACTCGCTCTTCCAGTTCAGGAGAAATCTCCTCTGGCTGTTGGAACTTCCCCTTCTCCCACCTGCAGAGAAACAATTTCACATGATTATATTTCATTTAGTGACTTATTATAAGTTCTTGCTGGTGAGTCGCTGCTCTAATGGGCCTGGAGTTAGAATTCCTCTACTTCTCCCAGCCTCAGAGCAGGTGCAACAGAGCCCATGGCCGTGCAATCTTCCTCTCCAAGGACCCATTAATCTTCTTCAGCTCTGGCCTGGAGAGCCCTGCTCTGGGGATAAAAGGCGAATTGAGTCTCCATGGCCAATTCACTCCATGGCCTCCATGATCTGAGGGACAGGAGGTTCCCAAGTTAAGTGTTATAGAATTCTGTCCGCTAGAAACTAGACTGAGACACCAACTCCCCTCTCCCCAGCTCATTCCACACAGGTCTCCAAACAGTCCTCAGGTGGGGAAGACTCTTGACCACTGCTGCCGTGGGCTGAATGGTGACCAGGGCCCCAGCAGTGACAGGCCCATATTCCATCCCCACAATCCTGAGGCAGCCAGTCCCCCAGGGATGTGACATCTCTAGGAAATACTTTAGGTCAGTCCTTCCCACTGCATGGATAATTCCAGAGTCTTCTTTACAAGGGTGAGAACCTCAGGATGAAGTTTGCCAGATAGATTTGTATCCAGAATGTGACCTTCACCACACATTTTGTTGTAGAGCCCTGGGGAGAAGCGGTGCTGTGACAGGTTCCCCGGGGTGCAGCCTGGGACTGTGGGACTGCTGCACCCCCTTAACTCTCTCCAGCCTGAGCTGTCTCTCACAATGCCTTGCTAGTGACAAGTAGCAAACCCCTCCAGGCATTGTTATCACTCAGCACGACAGCATGCGGAGCTCCACACCCAGCTAGATTGCATGAATGATCCCAGTGCCACTCATGAATCACACAGAGGAAGGCACCAGCCAAATCCCACACCCTCACCCCAGCTCCCAGTACTTTACCTCAGGAATATACCGTCTAATTTATTAATTGGTTCACCACTTCATCAAGGGAAAGTGGATATACACCAGCCTTTGCAAAACCTGAGCAGATTTACCACACATTTCAGGCAAACTCACTGGTAAAGACAACCAGTAAAAGAAATTTCTGTACTCCAAAAGATAAATTTTAAATGACTATAAGTGATAGACAAAAAGTCAGAGTTATTTACCAAAAGAAAAGAAAATATAAGCATGCAGTCTGAACTCTCAACACTGTTAGACTGGGTAATATCTAGATTAAGCAATTTTTCTTACCCCACTGGATATTGCATTCATAGTACACAGATTTCAGCCTTAAAATCTGGGCCAGTCTCCTCTCTTGGAGTCTTAAGTCTTCTCAGTGTCTTGGTTACTTGCAGCATAGGTGGGGGCAGGAGAAAGGCCAAGCATGGCCCCCTGTGTTTGTTTTATACCCTTAGCCCATATGCTTGGAGAACACAAGTCCAGGCATGTCTCTGGTGGGCACTGCTGAGTCCCCAGGCAAGGTTGAGCAATTCCCCTGGTGTGGCCTTATGCAGGTGAGTCATCGCATTGTAGCTCCCTTGCTGGACAATGGCTGGTGTTGTCTGTTCAGTATACACCTGGGTGTTGGTTACCTCCCTTGTCATTCTATCTGGAGAGCTAGTATCTGGGCGCCTCCCAAACCCACAGCATGTTTTAGTGACAAGCATACAACACATTCTCATAACTTCATATGTATTGATGATATACACATTTAGATGGAACAATGGGTTTCGGCAGATCATAACCGTTCCCGTGATACCTCGCATGGCATGCTTTATACGCAATATCACAATTATATGTAAATGAGGAATCTGGGATTACAGATTGCTCCCCCAAGGTATTGAAAGTCAAACTAACATCACCACCAAGCTCTTTCCCAGCATTGTGAAGTTTGAGGGGGAGTGAGAGAGCCACGTACCTGCTCAAGGTGCTTCTGATATTCTAGAGGAGGGAGAGAGAGGGGGAATTTCAGTCCCATCTGACACGTACACACAGGGGATCCCAGGGAAGGGATTCTGCAAATACGGGGAAGAGAGGCCCTGCCCTGACCCCAGGCCATGGATTCCCTGAGCTAATGGGGCTTTTCCATCTCTAATATCAATGTGTCTGTAACGTTTCAAAGAACAGGAATGCACACGCCGAGTTACACTGAGATCTCTGACTGCTGGACCCCAGTGCTTATGATTCAGGAGCCCTCCCTTCCCTGTATGGGGATCTGGGATGTTTCTAACCAGAGGCGCCGGCTTCTAATGGTCCCTGAGGGTGCTCAACCACAGACCCTGCCCCCACTCCACCCCTTCCCCCAATGCCACACCCCTGCCCCTCCTCTTTCTGCCCCCACCCTGCCTCTTCCCCACCTCTTTCTGCTCCCTCCCCTGAGCATACCCCATTCCCGATCCTCCCTCTCCCTCCCAGTGTCTCCTGCACACTGCAGAACAGCTGATTGTGGCAGACAGGAGGCGCTGGGAGGGAGGGGGAGGAGTTGATCGGCGGGGCTGCCAGCATGCAGGAAGCACTATGGGGAGAGGGGGGGAGCTGGCTGCCAGTGGGTGCTAAGCACCTGCTAATTGTTTACATGGGTGCTCCAGCCCTGGGGTACCCACGGAGTCGGTGTCTCTGTTTCTCACTCAGTCTCACCTGCAGGAATTCACTCGCTGGCTTCTGACACTTCCCCTCCAGCTCACTGATCAGCTCACTGAGATGGGAAATCTGCTCGGAGAGTTTACTGACATTTTCATTTTGTATCCTCTCAATCTCCTCATCCAGCTTCTCCAGCTGGGACAGCAGGAGTCGCTCTTGTTCCCCCAGGAACCACCGCAGTTGCTGAAATTCAGACACAATCTTTTGTCTCTCGGTTTGTGTCTGTTTCTGTATGAAAATAGGGAAAGGGCTGGTCAGGGACATGGATGGAGCCCAGGGTCCTTTCATGGAGCGCTGAGTGTGCAGGAGGGAGAACTTCATTGAAAATGCTAAGATTTCTGACATTTGACTCTACCCTATGGGTACTAGGGAGGGGATTCTCTCACACCTTCCCCTTTGGTCCCTGTGTCTTTGAAAGGGAGGTTTCCATGTCTGTCATGGTCAGCATATTATATTTATTCATGGTCTCTGGGAACTCAGACCCAGAGCAGCAGGTGGCAGGACTCAGCACTACACTGACAGAGACACCAGAGGAGCTAAAAGAAACAAACCTGTTAACAATGCGAGCAATGACCAGACACAGTGGACAGCACTTCATGGGTGACAGTCAGTTCACTTGGGGGGATTTCTGTGAAAGCCAGAAGGGCTAGACATTAACTAATCAACTGCAATGGAAGCTTAGGGCTTGTCTACACATGAATCTAACCCAGGAATCCATGATGATGAAGAAACACTCACAAGCCCACATTCACCAAGGCCACAGAGGAATCTGCCTACAAACAGACCTCCCACTGCCAGTTCCTGCTGGTTAATAACAACAGGCACCTACTGTTACCCAAAATTGGGACAGCTAGTAAGCTTAGGGAGGACTAATGACCCACCAGACTTTGGCAGAAAGCAGCACATTTATTATACTGATAGTTAAGCTTAAAAGAAGGGGAGGATCACACTCACACTCGCATACTCACGCTCCCAGGACAGGCCCGGCACTGGAGATGTCAGGATCCTTTAAGGTAAGTGTCCCACAGCGCAGCAATGGATGGTGTGATGAAGGTAAGTCTTCCTGAGGCACGATGGAATGCAACGCTGCGAACCACTGGCCAGACATTCTGGGCAAAGGGCCTTCAGGGGAGGTACAAGTTTTTGAGTGCACTGCTGAGCACATGGCCCCTTCCCCTTTTAAGGACCTGCTCCTCATGGCCTGAGACTAGATCTGGTTGGTCACACTCCATCTCAGCCAGTGTCCATGCATTGGGTGTGTGAGCGCTGCCTAATCAGAGTGCCAGACGCCTTGTCTACTTGGGAGCTCTTTTGATCTTCCAGCTGTTCAAGCAGCCCATTCACCCCACAAACATTCCAGAAGGGTGGGGGAGGGGGAAAGCCACTTCACAGGTATTCAAAGAGAGAGAGGAGACAAAATGGGGGGGGGGGGGG